CGGTAGACAAGCAGATCACACTACTGTACACCAGCGGCTTCCGGACCCGGGACATGGAGGGGTTCCCCTTGAGATCAATGTCACGTTAGGTGACGCCCGACCACGCTTGACTAATTTTTGGCGGTGCAGCCGGCTGGTGTGCCAGGCCCACCTACCTCGCACAAGCCTGCATACCTCCATTTGAGCTGTCCTCCCATCAATACATGCGCGGCCCGCAAACGACCCCTTGTTGGTGGCACTGCTAGAGGTCCTTCAGGTGGTGTGTGCTGGCGCTCTACGCGCTGCATGCATCAGCGATAATCCACTCCCGTACTGAGCCCCACCTTTCACCCGTACTTTGCCCGCGCATACCTGCACAGCCCTCAAGCAACCCCCAAAAAGCAGAAGCTGGCACTGGTAAGAGCTGCCCGGCGGTCCTACCCCCCTTTGGAGGCTTGCCTGTCTCGTGCATAGTGATGCGCTCGATAACGCCCCCGTCGGTGTGGAAGCACAACATCAGTGTTTCTCACTTGCATGCCTGCCTGCCCTCGATATGTCTGACATGCACGAACCCACAACCCTGCGCACACCAAGCGATCATGCGCCGTCTCACGCACGTCCCCTCGCGCAGTGCACGCCCGTCAACGCTTTGAAGAAGTGCTCCAAGGCCGGCCCAGCCCTTGTAGACCAGCTGTGCGCCGAGCTGCTGGCACCCGCCAACGCAACGGCCGACAGCAAGGTGGGTGCTAGCATTCAGCGTGGACCTGGGCGCATACGAGCAGGTGCCTGTGCGTTGCTTAGTGGCTTGTATAGGTGAATGTGACATGGGTGGCAGCAACAAAAAAAATTGTTGTATTCATGAATCCACCAGCAGCAGCTAGCAGCAATCTACACGTACATGACATCCAGCCACAGCAACATACACTCACATACCAAATGGTATGTTGACAACATACAGCTGTAGCTCTAGAAGGCTGTGTCTTTTTACCACGATCTCAGCTTGCGCACCACCACGCACCTGTGTGGGTTGCACCCACCACTCCCCCAGGACCCCACCAAGTTGCACTATGGCTGCGGCGTGGCCACCGCTGCCCAAGTCAACAAAGTTTCCAGTGACCTGGCAGCCCTCGAGCCCAAGGTCACCGCCGCCGCCGCCCAGGCCAGCTCTGTGGCCACTCTTGTGAGGGAAAACAACCAGGCTGCGGCGCTGCGCGCCGAGATAGATGCACTCCGGGAGGCAATCGTGGCGCTCACCGCCAACACGCAGGGCCTGCAGGCCAACGCGTCCAATGCTGCCCGACAGATTGCGGCGCTTACTGCAGCAAACCAGACCGCTGCGCGGGAGATCGCGGCGCTCACTGCCCAAGTGCAAGAGCTGAAGGCGATCACGACCAACACCACCGTGCCAGCCGACGTTTCCCAGCAGATCGCTGCCCTTGCAGCGGCCGACGCACTCGCCACCCAGCAGCTGGCCTTGCTGCAGGCGGCAAACCGGACCGCCGTCCAGGAGATCACGGCGTTCAACAACACTCTGGCAGCCCTGAGATCGGCGCAGCAGGCGGACGCGGCGGCAATCTCCCTGGCCAACGCCACTGTCGAGTCCATCAAGTCTGTAGTCACCACAGGCGCGGCGGCTGTCGCGGCGGTCAACACCAGCCTCACCAACCTGACAGCCATCCTAGCCAACGTGTCTGCCATCGACTTCAGCGTTTATGCAAAATTCACGGACCTGGCCAACCTCAATGCGGTCACACTGGGCGGCGTCCCTGCGGCGCGATTCCTGCGCTCGCGGTTGGTGCTCTACCGTGAATCTGATACGCTCAGGAACGCAAACCTTGGTGGCCGGTCTGGCGCTGACGCCCTGTGCAACGCCTCGCCGTTCAGGCCCGCCGGGCTTGTGGTGACGCACGCGTTCCTTTCGACATCTGCATCCGACCAGATTTCTGATTTCATTGCCCTGTACGGGGTTCCCAACAGCCTGCCTGTTGAGTCTTTGAGCGGCGTCGTCCTGGCCAGCAACTTCACGACCATACTAGGGGGCAGCATCCAGACGAGTTTGGTTGACGCGGGTGTATTCACAAGCGCACTGAACTGGTGGTCGGGTTCTACCGCCGCGGGCATTGTGGCTACCACGTGCGCGGGGTTCGCCTCCGGCTCAAGCAGCGCTGCAGGTCAGGTTGGGTCCTCAACTGTGACCGGAGCCGGTTGGGTGAGCGTTAGCTTTGCCGCTTGCAACACCGGCCGGTCAGTTGTGTGCATTGCCTTCTGATGTCGCATGGGACATGAGACAGCTGCTGATCGGCAGCGGCAGCGGCATGCACAGCGCCCATCTTGCTGTGTGTGCTGTCTGTGCATCCTGCCATGCTATGCGCACGCGCTTGCGCCCTTTTCGACGCGCAACCCCTTCAAGCAGAGCGTGCGTGGGGTCCACCTTCCCTTTGCAGAGTGCAGGGTCGGTGTTGCCGTTTGCCAAGATTGCGCCATGGCAACTGCTCTTGCGCGCGCAATCATTAAGGACGCACACACACTTGCATCACTGCCGTGCGGTGTGTGGGTCTGCTGGCCGCAGCGGTGCTGCCGGTGCTCACGCCTGACTCGGCAAAAGGGTAATGGCATTGTTGCCCCTTATGTGTATGCTTGCTGGCAGATGCGTTGGAAGGTTAGGAATGAGGAGGTCCGCTTTGATGAGCGCGGGGCCGATGGCAGTGATACTATGGCATGAGCAACTTATCTATCTGATGGCAAACACTTGCTGCTAGCTGCTTTCCGCCCGTGTCGGCCTTGTCTCTCTCTGCTTGCTGGCTTGGACTAACTTGTACTGCTAGAGCACCTGGCGTCGTCCTGCAGGATGGGCCCATGTGGGGAGATGGAGCAAGGTCGGGGGGTTGGCGGGGTTGGCAGCAAGCACGGTGAGATGGGCAGCTCGCTGCTGGGTGGAGTATGTGTGGCACCGAATCGCTGACAGCTGTCATCGTTTGCTGGCGCTATGCTTCGGCTGCTTCAGACTGCTGCTTGACTGCCGTTGACTGCTGTCGGCGGCAGCTGTCAGCGAGGCGCACGCGCGGTCGTGTGGAGTCGGAGGGCCCAGGTACGCGCATGCGTTCGTCCTATAATGTAACACTTTGCTGACAGCGGATCGGTCGTGTCGGTGCTGCTGCTGGCGGCGTGGGACACGCGCTGTGCGTCGCTGCGGGCCCTGGCACTGCTGGCTGGCTGGCTGTCAACCCCCTGATCTGATTTGCCCTGCTGTCAAACCACTTCACGTGATCTGCTGTCTGCCAGATACGTCATCAGCAGTTCAGCACCTCTGCCATCGCGCGCTCACCGCGCATCATCGCCCGCTTCACGCCCATCCGCGCACCCGCGCGCGAGTCCGCGGGAGGTTGAGGGCGTCACCCGATTGTGTCGTCACCTCAACAGGGCACACTGACAGGGATCTGCTCCACAAGCCCTTGTGGGTGACCATGCAATTGCCCCCCACGCACAGGCGCGGCTTTGCAGCCACCCAAGAGGCTGATTGGCACAGGGGGGAGAGCGCAGGCAGGCGTGCACCACTAACTGCTCCGTCTGCGGGCCAGGAATGCTGAAGTGCGCGCCGCGCGGCCCGCTGTCACGGCGGCAGCCGGCCGCAAAGGCTCTGCGCACGCCACACTCGTCTCCTGTGGAGAGTTTGACCAACGCGGCTGCCGCTTTGACCCGGCCGCTGTTTCGACGGGCCTGCAGGTGGTTTCATCCTCCCTCCAGAGCTGTCGTGGGGTCCCCAAGAATGAAGGCGTGCAGCTTCGCAGCGGGCCTTGTCGGAAGCCAGCAGACAGGCTGCTCTGGTCAGCACACGCCTGCGAACTACAAGCAACGAACACTGCTATTTCACACGCCGCATTCCAGCCCGCGTGGTTGCTGATGCTGTTCACCCGCGGCCGCGCGGTAGGGGGTCCCTTGAAAGAGGGTCCGAATAGGACAAAAGGGATGTGCCAGCCGTGGCGCATCACGTGCGGCAACCCAGTATTAAGAGGTCTTCAGCGTATCACGAGTTGATTGGTTCGCCATGCAAGTTTGTGCCCACTGTTTCAGGCACGCGTCACAGCCGGCGCGGGGATGAAAGCGGCAGGGCGCCGACAGAGATGGATCGAGCGGCCAGCCCGGCGGCCGGCGACCGGCGGCGGCAGCGGGGCTGCTGTTGCAGTGCAGGGGAAGTAAAGGCATGCGAGCGGCCGTTGCTCCGCGCTGGTGCCGCGATTGCGGTGGTGGCTAGGTCGGCTGTCCCTCAACTTCAGGGAACGCGGCTGCAAGTGACGAGTGAAATCTTGTGCCATCGGCGGCGTGCGCGGCCGCAACTAATGCGGGCCCCGCACAGCAAACCCGTGTGCGAGCATGCGCGCGTGGTGCGTCGCGGCTCCAAGCACTTTCCACACTCCGAGGCATGGGGGCTTGTGTGCCTTGCTGTTGAACGAAAAGCCACGCACCCCGTGTGCCGACCGATCCCGCCATGCTGGATCACTTGCAAACAGTCACGGACAAAAAAGTAACCGTCGGGTGGCGGGCCTGATTCGATCGGCACAGACGCCAGCAATTGCCAAGTAGGCTCAGGGGCCCGTCTTGCGTTCGTACATCTGTTGTTTTGCTCGCCTCACCCAGAACAGATCATTCAGCAAGCTGCGAAATCCCGCGCACCGCCCCCCCCAAATCCTGCACGTCGGCCCCCTCACACCACCGCCACGCCCGCCGCCGCCGCATCCCCGCCCGCGGCGCCCGCAACCGTGCACGCGTCCGCCCCGCCGCCGCCGTCCGCCGCCGGGGCAGCCGCTCCTCCCGGCGCGGGCGCCAGCGCGTATGCCCCGCTTGCCACCTCATCATCAGTTATGGGCGCGAAGTAGACGCGCGTCGCCGCGACGGACGCGACTGCTGCGGCCTTGGTTTCCTCGGGTATCTCAGGCAGCTCCCCCAGGGTCGCCTTGAAGTGCTCGAAAAACCACTGAGGGGCGGTTTTGCGTTTCGGGCGCGCGGTGGTTACGCTCGGCGGCGGCGGGGCGTCGGCGTCGGCGAGCAAGGGCAGGGAGGGCGGATGGGAGGCCTAGGAGAGGCCTGCCGGGGCCGCAGGTCATGGGGCGGGCACCGGGGACCCGGGAGGCGGGGAGGGGGAAGGGGTGGCCAGGCATGCAGGGGCCCGTGTTGTGTGGAGAGTGCGCGGGTGTGAGGGCCGCCCACCTCCCAGTCCTGCTCTGTGAGGCCGCTGTCTTTTATGAGGCGCCAGTGGATGCGCCTGAGGTTCAGGGCGGGGTGCTCCTGGGGTTGGGTCAGGGGGGGGAGGGCAGGCCATTGGGCGGCCAGGGGACGCGAGCGTGGGCGGCAGGGGCCGGGGCGCGCCTGATGGAACCGGCCGCTGCGGAGCTGGGTTTCCCCCTGCCCTCCCTGCAGGCGCGCGTCGGCGCACGCCTCCAAAGCCTTTGTGTACTGCCTCGCCCCTGGTGCTGGCGCGGGCTTCCCCTTGGCATAGCAATGCAGCCGTCACCGCCAATCGAGTGCCACGCCCTTTGCGCCGCCGCTCACGTCTGTGACGAGCTGCTTGCCGCCAAACGCCAGAGCCATGAAGGTGACCTGCGGTGTTTTGAAGCGAGGCCTAATGGGATGTAATGGGGGGTTTTGGTGATTGGAAGGTGGAGAGACAGCACGGCGGCGGCGGCCCCCCCCTCACCCAAGGATCACACGGCGTTGGGGCCAGGCTACGCGTGGGCCCCAGCTGTGCAGATCAATCCGCGGCAACCCCCCCCCCCACACACACACACACTTACACAATCACTCACATAGTTTGATCAAGGTGGCAAATCCCCGCCCATGAGCGGCTGCGGCCGCGGCCGCGGCCCCGCGACGCGCTTCTGGAGGTCGTCAGGGATGGCCCCCGCCGCCCAGGCGCACCCCCGCGGGCGCGCTCCCTGCCTACCAGCCGCGACGCCGCGCGGGGGGCGAGGCGCCCCCCCCCCCTGCCCACCTGGTGGGACTTGAGCTTTGAAATGTCGACGCTTTTGAAAAAGGGCGACAGCCGGGCGTCGCCCATCACCTGGGACGGGGACGGGGTTGGGGGAAGGGGAAGGGGGCGTGAACATGCTGCTGGGGATGGAGCGAAAGCCCCCCGCGGTTGCCGCAGTTCGCCAGAGGGTGCAGGGAGTGGGTGTGGTCGTGAAGGGCCGCCGCCACCGGAGGCAGCGCCGCAAACCGCTCAACTTCCCAGTATCCTGTGCCTGGTCAGCCCGCTGACCCGCCCAGTAGCAGCGTGCTCCTCCCAAGAGCGACGCGGCCGCCGCCGCATCCGACTGCAATCAAGCATCCCCCCTCGAGCTGCGACCAGGCCGCCCCGGCGCACCGCCGCTATACTCAACCCGCGCCGCACGCGCCGCCGGCGCGGGCAGCGCGCCGCGGCCGCGCGGCCGCACCTTTTCATAAAACACGTCCACAATTTTCTTGAGGCTCACAGAATCAGAGCACGCCAGCTCGTGGGTGCGGCGGCGCTCTGCGAGAGCAGGGCAGCGGTTTGGCAGGCCACTGCCGGCACTCAGGGTTTGACTTTGGTCAAACGTACATACATTTCATTCACCTGGTCGCGCAGCCACGCGCTCGGCAAGTCTGGCCCCAGCCCCGCCCCCTCATGTCGCCACCTCTGGCCCCCGCACCAATAAATTGGGGAGTAGCCTCACCCCCAGGCCGGACAACCTACCCACCTCCCGACACCCGCGGGTCGCTCGCGGCCGCGCCCGGCGCGAAGCGCACGCGGGGCAGCGGCCCCGAGCCCTCGCTGCTGTGCGACCTGCTTGTCAGGCTGCCTCCTGACAGGAGCCCGCCGCCCGCGGCCGCGGCCGCGGCCGCGCCGCAGCCGTTGGCCGCGTTCCCGCCGCCGTCCATGCTGGGGCGCAGCGAAGAGCGCGACGGCGTCGTGCTGCTGCTGTACACGCGCGCCAGCGGCGGCTTGAGGCTGTCGTGGGGCTCGGCTTGCAGCGAGAGGTGCTCCGCGGCGCCGTCGGCGCATCGCGGCTTGGCACAGGCGCAGCTGTTTGCAGGCTCGGGCTGCGCTGATGTGGCCATGGGTGCCGCATCTTTTGCCGCAGCTGCGCCTGCTGTGGACGCTGATGATGTGGTCTTGACGGCACCGTTATCAGAGACGTCCTTTGAGATGCAGGCACCCATTCTGTGCTGCCACGGCACGCGATGCCCTTGTTTTGTCCTTGGGTCCCAGTCCTGGTTTTGTCAAGCGGACCTTCGCGGCACAAGCGACACCAAATGTGTCAAGGCCTGAGTCTGCAATATATGATACCTGATGATCAGATCACGGCTTTCGGTGTCCACGAACGAGACTGCGAAATCAGACGCAAAGACTGGCGGTGGGTTGAGAGATATCACGGTACATCAAAAAGCATGTGTTTAACATGTGTCATACCTTCAATCATGCCACACCCCAGGGTGTAGTGCCTGCAAGGCGGGTTGCCACACTGCCGTGGCGACCTGCTGGATCTCGACGCCCCCCCCCCCCCTCACATTTTGCAGTGGGGATCCGGCACCAGTTACTGCCACACTCATTGGCTGCTGCTGGAGAGTAGGTGTCAACATCAGGAGGACGGTGAACCGCGACCTGCGCGCTGACTGTGATGCGCGCACAGCAACAGAGAGGATTGTCAAAGGAAACTCCGCCAAACAAAAGTCGCGGCGCCATCGGCATGCAAGCGGCCGCGTGCTTGTCTGCTGCGAGCCGAGCGGGCGGTGCTCGTGTGTACGTATTCCACGGACATGTCAGTGGCATATTCAGCAGCCGGGTGCGATTTGCGGGGGAGCGACCATTGTGTGAGGGAGCCTGGGGCAGACGAGTGCGCGTGCGCGCACAATTCGCAGGTGATGTGGCTGGTGACGCGCTCGTTCCATCAACGGAGGGAGCGGCGTCTGCGTCGCACCGGCAACAGCGTGCGGCGGGTCTTCAAAGATACGGATGGAACGGTGGGAGATAGGCGGCCGCGTGACGGAGGGATTGGAAATTCAATGATGCGCTTCGATGGAGCCGCTTCGCCGGCGCAAGTCGAGAAAGCCGAAAGACCGGTGCGCGCGATCAACGGCGGGCTTCACTGGTTCGCTCGATCGTATCATCCCAACGATTTCGGTCAAAAATGGCAGCGGACAAAAGCAGCGCGACTGCAGCGAAAGCGCGCGCGCTGCATAGCGGTCAGTCACAGATATACAGCGGCCGCGTTTGCCACCACCCACGAGGACACTAGCAGCGCCAAACCCCACAGCACGGCCGCCGCGGTGCTGGTGCACTCTGCCGCATGCAGCGGCTTCCAGCCCGCGCGCGCCCCGGCCCCGACGGCTGCGCCCGGCCCGCCCGCGCCGCCGCCGCTGGCGGCCCCGCGAGTCTCTCCAGGAAAGCGGCGGCGCATCGCTCGATCAAAAGCGTACCCCCAAGCGAGAGGCGCCACGAGCGCCACGTAGAACAAAAACAGCTGCACCACCACAGAACACTCGAAGCGGCCGACGCCTGCAGGTGCGATGCCTTCGCCGCCACTGCTGCGATCGCTGCCGCCGCCGCCGCCGCTGCGGGAGGGCCCCAGGGCGTCGGGCCCCGGGCCTGCGAGCGCGCCCATGGCTGCGCCGATGAGGCCATGGATCCTTACGAAGACGGACCCCTCGCAGCCCTGCATCCCCGCGCGGCACGCAAAGCGTCCCAGGTGGGCGCTGACCGCTAGCCACTGCAGCACCTGCAGCGGCGCGTGGAAGCGGAAGGGCAGCGGCACCGCGAGGCCGTACCTGGACGGGCGCGCGCGAGCGCGAGGGGGGAGGGGGCGGTGCGGGCGTCAGGGCGGGCTGAAAG